TGGGTGAGCACTTCCGCCGACTCCTTCAGTACCCTTGGGTGGATCCCATCCAGCCCCATAGAGTTGTGTGTATCTAGGTGGTGTAGCAGGTCACTAACCATTTCCCCTTGGATTATGGGGGCTTCATTCTGCTCCCCGTCCCTGTCTTCCAGCACGGGGGACTGGGTACCCAGAGAACAACTGGTCTTACTACTAAAGACTGAAGTGAAGAAGGCATTAAGTACCTCAGCCTTTTCCTCATCCTTTGTCACTATGTTTCCCCCTGCATTCAGTAAAGGATGGAGATTCTCCTTAGCCCTCCTTTTGTTGCTAATGTATTTATAGAAACACTTTTTATTGTCTTTTACGGCAGTAGCAAGTTTAAGTTCTAGTTGGGCTTTGGCCCTTCTAATTTTCTCCCTGCATAACCTCACGACATCCTTTTAGTCCTCCTGAGTTGGCTTGCCCTTCTTCCAAAGGTCATAAACTCTCCTTTTTTCCTGAGTTCCAGCCAAAGCTCTCTGTTCAGCCAGGCCGGTCTTCTTCCCCGCTGGCTTTGTCTTTTGGCACATGGGGACAGCCTGCTCCTGTGCCTTTAAGGTTTCCTTCTTGAAGAATGTCCAGCCTTCCTGGAGTCCTTTGCCCTTGAAGACTGCCTCCCATTACTCCCATTACTGTAAAAAGTTTTAAGATAGTCTTTTTATCTTGGAGGAGAGACTGTTTTCTTAGTGAAATTAGGAATGGCGTTGGTTATATTTCAGAGAACTAAGGATAGTTTAGCTGTACCCCTGAAGAAGTATAAGGGTACTTTCTCAGACAGTGCCAGACTTCAGGAATAGTTTTAACAGGAAAGTCTGAGATTAGAACAGAGCCTTCTAGGAAAAAGTGTGCGGAAAGTTAGTGACTTACCATGGATCCCTGGGTTTTCCGTGAGGTTAGCAGCTCCTTGGTTTTGGATATCCTCTGCATGAATAAAACCTTTCACTTACTGAAAGGTTTCTGTGGGCCAGGAAAAGAATCCCCTTTTATGTAAAAATACCTTTAAAAAAATCTGAGTCATAATGTTTGGCACATCCCCCTTTTCTGTACAAAAATATTTTATTACTAATCTTACAAGTACAATGTATTTGAAATTCGTTGCTCTAACCTGTTAAGAGCAGATGCTGAAGACAACCGAGTACATACCATTAGTTATCTGCTTCATGCTTTTTCTACTTTCTCCTTTCCAGGCAACAGGAAAGGATAAATTCCCAGCGGGAAGAAATAGAAAGACAACGAAAAATGTTAGCAAAACGGAAGCCACCTGCCATGGGACAGACCCCTCCAGCAAGCAATGAGCAGAAGCAGCGCAAGAACAAGACCAATGGAGCAGAAAATGAAACGTAGGTTACGTGGCCTTCTTGGTGCGTTGCAAAGCTGCATGCTTTGATTAGAGCACAAAATATCTACTGGGAAATGGAATCTTGCCCTTGCCTCTAGGCTTCACTCCGTGCACAAATGAATATTGTGGAACTAGCCTGGCATTCAGCAACATCTGGCTGCAGTTCTAAATAGTTTTCATTGGAGTAAAACAAGGATCATTGCCGAGTCCAGACTTTGTATGAGCTTAACTTTTTTTGAATGCAGTAACTTTTTCAGTATTCCTGTTGCGTCAAGTTTGAAAAGTGGTGTCTGTCTTAAGTGTTGCAACTTCAGATTGATTTTGGTATCTGTATGATACATGGTGTGTTTTTTTAAGGAAAAAAAAATCATACACATTTAGAAGCTTTTATTTCCATGTGCTTTCTGGTGAGGCTTTTCAAACAATTAATTTGGTATACTGAAGAAAAAAGATGCTCTCCGTAAGGACAGTGCATTAAGCATTGACCTGTATCTCCAAAGCAGTCCTTCGCAGATAACCGAGTCAGGGAAATGGAAAGGTAGTTGAAGTGCTACTCTTTCTTCTTAAAGAAGTTTTTTTTTTTTTTCTCCCTACCTCTTTTGGAGTTACTGATATTCTTAGAGAGGAAAGCTGTGTCTCACAAGAAATTTAGAACATTATTTTTTGGGAAGTTGCTATGAGTTGGAAATACGTTAAGTCAGAGACCTTCTGTTACCTTCTACCAGTTTCCTTTACAGTTTTCATTTTATTGCTGTTGGCTAATACCATAACTCTCAATGACACTTTTCTTTTTGCACTATTAAATCTCCTGGGCATGACTTGACCTCAAAGTTCCTGAAGCCCTTTGAATTCTTGGTCTTGATCTTTAAAAGTGCATGTGAAGCAAAAGCTCCCACTGCCTTTTGCAGTCACAGCAGAGATGGCACATGACTGGGTGAATTGTGGTATTCAGGGTGCTCTCAGCAACCAGGGCGGTGCCCCCAAATAGGATGCTGATCAGGTGTATGGTATTGGAGGGCACGGTGTGCTGTCTGCAAATAAGTAGCTTGAATAGAGACATTTACCCCTCGTTCTGGCCAAGTGAGCTTAAAAACAACTAAATAAAGTTTTAAAGACCTCCTTCTGCATTGCAGCATTTGAGTTTGGAGAAGTAAATTGAATGTCTGTGCATGGATATCTCGAAGCGTTGCTGTTCATTGTGGTAACCTTTCACTTCTAAGGGACAGGATGACGCTTTCTCCATTTCTGCAGGGATGTTTTTCCCCAGCAGACTGGTGCAGCTGTCGTGTGGCTTATTCTGCAGACATGGCAGCACAGGTCTTGATGTGCCTGGAAATCATGATAATGTCTGTGATACCTAGTGAGCTTCTGCCTGTGTTGTGAGCCTGCCTTGATGTAATCTAGCTTTACCTGGGTTTGCTAGTAAGCCTTGTTGTGCTACCAGGTCTTTTTCTCTGTGTTTCTCGCTGGTTTATCTTTCTTCACTGATACATTTCAGGGTTTTATCTTTGTGGTTTAGAAGAGCTTCTTGTGGCGTTCTTGATAAAAACTGCTTGCCAGTGTATGGATGTGGTTCGTGTGGAGTGTTTTAGCTTATGAAAACATTGTTTTTGCAAGTCAGCTGAAGCAACTGTACTGACTGACTACTTGCTTAATCATTAGTTATCCTGTAAACGCATTTGTTGATGTGTATCAGGTACAAAATTTTCTGATTTTTTGGAGGGAGGTTTTTTCCTTGTGGAAGTCTTACAGAGGCTGTCTTTTAGGCAAGTTGAATATAAATGTTTCTGAAAGTTGAATGAGAAGCGGACAGCCAAATTCCTTCATTTGATTTTTGGTTCCTCTTTGGTTCATGGTTGTTGCTGTGTCTTAAAAAGGAGAGGAAGGTCCCATGATGCAAATTGAAACATGTGCTCTCCTGAAACTAGTTTCTAGCCTGTGAATGAGAAAAAGATTTTTATTCTGGAAGATTAATCTGCTGGGGCTTTTTGAGGTTTGTCAGCGCAGCTTGGGTAACCTTAGAGTCTTCAGCTGCGCTAGAAGTAGTGAATTTCAAGTATGTTTCTGTGAAACAGGGCAGTGTTTGTCTTAGAGCCCCCTTGATTTTTGTAATGCTTGCTGCTAACAGGCAGCTATTTTGGGCAATGGTAGCCTGGTGGTACTCATTACATCTCTTGCTTAATGAGTAGACTGTTGGTGTTTAGCCCTGTATTTCATTTGTGCACAAGAATATCTGGAAAGCTTGTTGCTGGTTTATTCAATTGTCTCTTTACTCCTTATACAGCAACACCAACCAAAGACCTAAACTTTTGGGACTGTCTTTTAGATTAGCTGAATCTAATCAGTATTAGATTCATTATAATAATTAATAATTAAAATTCAGGCTGTCAGGGGGAGATTGGGGTATGTGTGAATTAGCATGCTTTTATATGAAATGAGACAACATGTAAACATTTATGGTATCAGCTGTGTTTTGTATGTATCTTTAATTTGTAATAAGCAGTTCCTTATGGTTGAGATTCTTTTAGAGGGAACTTGGCTTGTGAGTTTTATCAGCTAACGACTGCTTTAGCACTTATTTCAACTATGCGGACCCTCTGCATTATCAGCAGTGGAGAGAAGTTGGGGCATTTCAAGATGAGCACTTAAGCAGCTGAATACTACCTCCTCTCATTTACTGTACAGTCCCACAGCCCTGCACAGGCATAGGACTCGGTCCCCTCTTGAACTAGTTGTGGTATTGATGCTGTGCAGACCTCATACACTAAACTTTGTACTAAGTGCTATGCAGGGCATAACTGCTGCAACAGGAATCCTCCTGGGATACGCTTTGAATTCAATTTAGGTTCAAAAAAGATATTTATATGCTGTCACGTGCGTATCTTGTTTACAAAGTAAACAGATGCAGTTGATATGGGCTTCATAGCTTTATGTTCACATGCGTGATGCTTTTACCAAACTCCTTGTTGGTAGTAGTGAGAAAATTAATCTAACGATTCATTTTTCTAACCTTAAAGATCTCAGCACATCATTACATTTCACAAGTGATGGGATCTGTCATTATTTTAGTGTAAGGCTGTGCTTCGCCTCTGTTCTACACGGCACACTTTGGCTATAAAAGACACCGAAAACATGATGAAACTTTTTTTGACCAGCCACCTAGGATGGAAACTTTGCACATCACTTACCATCAATAAAATGGGGCTGATTCCCCTTATCCCATTGCTTCTCCTAACTACACATGAGGTCAAAGATACGGTAAGGTGAAGTAAATTTCGCGAGGTTTCCCTGGAAGCCACTTTGCAGAGCCTGGAACAGGAAAAAGTTCTGAATCCCAGGTCATTGCTCTGTTTGCAGTGGCTCTGTGGCCAGGTGTACTGCTAGTCCCAGAGTGAATAGCTGGGTTGAATTATCCAGCTTTTATTACAAAGAAAAACTTGAAAACGAGTCCGTAAAGCAAACTTTAAATGGAAAAATAAGATGTGGAATACTTGTGCTTCAGTGTTCCATATTTGGATTATGGTTTAGCTTTCTTTGTTAAAAGTCAGTCACTAGCCTACATAGGTGTTATTAGGGACTTGGATTTGAAATTAATATGTGCTTTATCAAGGTTTAAGCTTTTGGTCTCCTTTACATTGATTATTAAAAAAAAAAAAAAGATTGCAGAGTTTACCTAAAAAATTTCCTGCCAGCTGTTGACATACTCTGCGTAGTTGTCACTTCCACTGGAGATGGGTATTCTGCAGACTGTTCACTTCATCACATGCATTGAAACCTGATGCATTGGATCTGTCTCTTCTATGCAGGTTAACGTTAGCAGAATACCACGAACAGGAAGAAATCTTCAAACTCCGACTAGGTCATCTTAAAAAGGTAAGAATTATCTGCAGAAAAGGCTTTTAGGTAGTGTTCTATGAACAATAGCATTTCTCCGTAGAGGTCACTACTGCTTGTTTGATAATTGAGAGGTTTTTGTTGCTTGAAGGGGATGGCCAGGATTTTGTAATAATTTTTTCGAAGGCAGTGGTATTCAGGAAAGATATTCTTTGCTTCAATAAATAGATTTATGTGTCCTTACAGTTACAATTTCATGCAGGGAGTTCCACTGTTTTGATGCATCTTATTCTGTCACTATGACCTGCCTAGTGCTGGGCTCTGTGTGTGTCTAATATGGGCGAACATGAAGGAATGGGCCAAGGGAAGAAAATTATAAGAATACAACAATTTCCCATTTCTTTGCGATATCGAGTAACCAGCATTATCAGTAACAGTCCAATAAAATCTCTTGGGCTTTTGGAAACTAGTACTGTTTAGATAGTTGTAATGCACGTTTGTTTTCAAATACATTGGCTTCTGTAGGAGCTGTACCTGCAAGTGAGGTTATAATTAGATAAGCTGTTGGTTACCTTTAAAGTGATTGCTATAACCTGTAAATAAGTTTTCCGGGGCACTTCAACAGATGAAGTACTGAAAAAAAAATAGATATCTTCTGCCATTTCGTGGTTAGCTGTGATCTCTGCTAAGGCCAAAGAGTTTTCTTTCCCATATGAAACAAAGAGGAAGCATGTAAATGCATTGCTGGAGTCCCCCTTCTTTTCTCAGGTGGTGCCTGAGAAAAACTACACTTAGTTTTTCCTGTAACCTTGACACACAAGTTGAATGCAAGGCCTCATTAATGCTACTGTACTCCTTGTTATTTTCAGTGGCAAGGGAAAGTTAATGCACACATGGAATCTGCTGGCACTCTGCCCATTGTGTTTTATTGACCTGTGAGCAAAGATAAGTGATAAGGGCAGGAGTATGCTAGAGGCATGCTTGCTCTACAGCTTCCGCATTGCTAGAGTGGATTAACTGCAGGTCCATCTGTGCTGGCATGTAGTGTGCCACCCTGGAACAGAGGAATCTGTTTGGAAATGGACCTTAATGGAAAATGAAGTAATGTTCTCGGATCGTGGCATTGTCTGAAGCTGTGCTTATCCTTCTCCACTTTTGGAAACTGGCTCATTCTTTGTGCCTAAAAATAGAACAAGTTGAGAAGGGAAGGAACAGAGTCACAAGACAAATGGGTAACTATGTCCCTTGAGTCGTATATGCCAAATAACACTGCTCAAGGCGCATGTTTTAATTGAGGTTTGCAACCCTGTCCACAGTGATGTGAATTCTAGTGTCGTGTTTGAGGGCACGAGAACTTCCAACTCTCTAAACAGTATATCAAAACTTCCACATGGCACTAAGTTACACCCTGACCTGTTCTACCACTTACCTTTAGTAGGACCACATGTTGTCCTTTCACATTCTCCATCCTCTCCGGATGCCATCCCCATGTGGCATCATGACATCCCTGTACTTACTTCTGAGGGCTGTCTTCTTTCTCTTGTCCCAGCAGAGGCTGAGTTCCTACAAAACCAGCTGCGTAGCACTTAATCAGGGAAGGAGCAGGACCAGAGCTACAATGCTTCTTAATTACGGAAAATGTTAAAAACAAGAAGGTGTAAAGATATGTCTGCTCCTGTCTGTGTGTAGGTGTAAACAAAACTGCCCAGTCAGTTTTCATTCCTGTCACCTTCCACCTGACTCTTAGTTGACTATGACCATCTCTCTAATCTTCCAAACAAGTTGTTTACCAGTAACTTCTTCACAAGTGGAATTACATTTGTGTTTCCATAAATCAGGTGGAAATGCTAACTGCACTCACTATCTTACACAGTGTTGTGTTTTCCTTTTGGTTTTTCCTTGTGCAGGAAGAAGCAGAGATCCAAGCAGAGTTGGAACGGCTAGAGAGGGTTAGAAATCTACATATCAGGGAATTGAAAAGGATACACAATGAAGATAATTCACAGTAAGCACACGGGATTCAGGGACAAGAACCTATAACAATTTTTTATTTGTCCCCTTCATAATGGGAAACACTTAATCTTTTTTAAATTGACATGGTGATGTAACTTGAAGTTCATGTAAGACAAAGGCTTCCAAGTGCATCAAGGTACCATTATATAGTCTTTCATCAGTGCAAAGTGATCAAATAGTATCAAATCTGTCAGTTGTTAACACAGTTTTAATATTTTTCTGTCTTAATATACAAATGTTGTTTCTAAGCTGTGTAGTAGGTGTAATTTATTGTACAGTAGATTGCATTATTTCTGTCAGTGTTCTTAAACTGTGTCTTTCTCACCAGATTTAAAGACCATCCAACGCTAAATGATAGGTATTTGTTGCTACATCTTCTGGGTAGAGGCGGCTTCAGTGAAGTATATAAGGTAAATTTGAAGAGGCAATCTGTGGTGTAATCTGAATCTGCAATGAAATATTGCAGTAAGCAGAATTTTTACACTTGTTTTCTCAATGGTGTGTGTGGTTGTGGAGGGAAGAAGGGAGGACAAAGCACATGTTGCATCTGGCTTGCATTAGACAGCAGGCTTGAGATTTTTAGGTTCTGCCCTTGTCCTCAGAGGTCAGATTTCCTGCAAATGTATGTCAAAAGAAAATGTTGCACCAAGTCTGCAAGTTTTGTCAAGACAGAGAAGCAAACCACTTGTTTCTTCAAGTGCTACATACAACCTTAAGTAGCGAAGTTTTATTGAGTATGGCATAGCAAGTCTGAATGTCACTGTAAATAAGAGAAAATAGCTCCAATAATAAGAGCAAAGCCTTCGTTTCCTGGAGGTAGAAGGCTTTTTTCTTGTGTCTTCATTTTACACTCTGAAGTAGCGGACTCTGTGTGTGTGTGCAGTCTTGGGACTTCCTTGGAACTGAGGATTACTTGTGTGTCAGCACTCTTGCATGGCCAAGACCTGTGATACTTCGATATTTGCTATTTGACTATTATGCTTAGAGCCTTTTCAGTTCTAAATATTCCCCGTCTGTACCCACTAGTTCTTAATTCATGTTGAATTTGGCTAGAATGAAAATAACTATGCCAATGCAAATACTGGGTACTTCACAGTGATTTATTATTTTGATGCAGTACAGCAATAGATATCTAAACCGGGGGGCTAGACTGCTCAGGTAGTGAAAAAAGAGTGTGATCTGCATGTAAGTACTCTGAATTGCTCTTTGAAGGCTTTGCTGACTAAGTAGAAAGCCTTGGCTCCGGAGATGAAAGCAAGGGGGTATGAATGCTTCATACCTGACCACCCTTAAGAGTTGTAACTGTGTTATTAAAACAAATGCTTAGCCCTTCTTCTCCAGGGTCTTGGCCAATCTATTAAGCGTTAGGAGTTAAGTATACAACTCTTGAGATTGACGCAGTTTATCCTTGTCTGCTTACAATAAGATTTTGCCCCATCCTAAAAATTATTAGCTGTTGCTGCTCTCAAGGTAAAAGATATCTGCATTTCTCCAAGAGCACAATTCCAGTGGTCTGTTCTTTAAAGACTGCCTAAATAGCAAGAAACTGGAAGGGAAAAACACAGCACAAGATTTACACAGTTCTGTCATTGAATTCTCCAGCTTCTAAATAAACTGAAACATTTTGCTCCAAGATGGAGAGCTGAGCTACCAGTGTGAAACAAAGCATTAAAAATCCTCTGTATGTTTTGGGTTTTTTTAACCGAGTGTAGAAAATGAGTTAGGTGGCATGGGTGAATAATGGCAGAGTCTTTCCCAGTGTGATTAACTGGCTATATTTTGGTAATTTGGCCTTTCTGATCCCATTGCAGGCTCTGGTGGTAAAATGTCAGAATAGATGCGGCATTAGTTAGATCCCATAGGGAAGGTCAGATCAAAGCACAGAATATTCAATTGTTTTCAGAGTTGCTTGGTTTCATTAGTGAAACTAATTACATCAAAATGTGGGTTTGCTCTTCACTCAGTATGTCATAATGCTGATTTCCTGGGTGGGGATATTGGTTTGTTAGAGCTTGTCCGCTTTTGCAGTATTAACTGGAAGTTGTGATTCCTACTGATTTTCAGCTCTTCTCTCTGCAGGCATTTGATTTAACAGAACAGAGATATGTAGCTGTGAAAATACACCAGTTAAATAAAAACTGGAGAGATGAGAAGAAAGAAAACTATCACAAGTAAGTAAGGCTGTAAAGCAGCCAGCCATGTTTCCAAACTCCTCCTGTATTTGGTTATCCAGTGCCTGTGAACAGGCTGCCATTTTTTTCATGTGTGTTGCCACATTTCAAAAGCCACTCTGTCCCAGCAGCTACTTGCAAAAGTTATGGTCAGATTAGAAATGTTTTAAACGTGTGTGCACACACAGAGTTTTGTATAAGCACCTACGGCACAAGGTTTTAAAGCACCAGTAGTGCTCTATGAAGAAAGCATTAAAGTGGCTTCTCTCTGAAATGTCTGAGCTCTGCTCTTGCAGGAAACAGTTGTTCGTGACCATCTTCCAGGTACACACCTGCATTGTGCTCCCTGAAAGCCTTCCCCTTCCCTTTGTTTCCTAGAATACTTAATCCTGTCACAGTTGATTAGGACTATAGGTATGTCATGGCCTAGAAGGGAGGTACAGGAAGCCTTTTGGTGTTGGTAACACTTGCTCCCTAATGCCATAGATTAGATAAGCTCTGCAGAGTGGCAGCCAAGCCTTCTTGACAAAGCTTCAAAGATAAAGATGTGATCTTAATTCCCCGACAGGTCACTAGGACAAACTAAGATGAATTTGAAGCCTGGAAGTTGGGCTGTTGAGCATCATGGAATTTTTCTAGAACTTGCTGATTTTTGTATTCAGCTATCTTGGATCCCTTAACAATTTATTATGAGGTTGTTCTATTTTGGCAAGCACTACCATTAATCAAGATTAGTTATTTTGTAATATTGCCAGTGCTTGAGATGCACTTAGATTCTGTGGTTCTCAAGAACTGTTCTGCGCAGTTTCTTGTTTGCTTGCCTTTTCTGAAGCTGTCTGAATAATGTAGATGGCTTTGATTGAAGTTGGACTGCTGTGTGGTATGTCTGGGTTCGCTAGCTGCAGAACTTAGAATTAAGTCACTTGTATGACTAATGCTCAGACTTTCCTATTTTCAGACATGCGTGTAGAGAGTACAGAATTCACAAAGAACTGGATCATCCTCGAATAGTTAAGCTATATGACTACTTTTCGCTGGATACTGACTCGTAAGTTTTGTTGCTGTGTCCTTTGACTTGGTTTGACCCATTCGCTACAGACAAAGTATTTGGTTTCTTAAAACTTTCCAGGAGTCCAGAGAATGTCCACACCAATGTTACAGACCGTACTGCAGAGATATCTGAGGCAGTTTCAACATATATTGGTGTTCTAGAAACGTTGGCTCACAAACCAATATGCCGTATTATGTCAGATGTGGTGCTCTGTTGGCCTGGGCAAATGCCCCAGCTGATACAGCTTTCTGCTTCTGGATCTAGCACTTAATGGGGGATCTCTGACCTTTGTACTATTGAGCATTGAGGACTGTGCTCCTGGTAGCTTATTTTTAGAAAGAGATTAATAGGCTGGAGGACTCTTAATTTAATATATTGACCAAATAGGTGAGTCTTACAGACAAGCAATAACAAAGTGATCTGGTTTCTGTCAGGTGCCTTAATTACAACAACTACTGTTTTGCCTTCAGGTTTTGTACAGTGTTAGAATACTGTGAGGGAAATGATCTGGACTTCTACCTGAAACAGCACAAGTTAATGTCGGAGAAAGAGGCGCGATCCATTATCATGCAGATTGTGAATGCTTTAAAATACTTAAATGAAATCAAACCTCCCATCATACACTATGACCTTAAACCAGGTATGCTGTGCTGCTAGCTGACGTGCTTAAGGATGCTAACTAAAGGTAATGGGTTATAAGTAACATGGGGAAGTTTACTTTGGTCAGACAGCAAAAAGGAGACAGGGCTGTCTGGGAAAACTAACTTGCAACAAGGAAAAAACTAAAATGCGTAGAACATCCTGTGAAAAGGGTATTGTCTCCCAGAACTGCAACATAAAACAAGGAAGTAACATTCCAGAAAAAGTAGCCTCCTTGTTCAGAACGAGCCCTTGAACCACCAAGTGTCTGTGTTTGGTTTCTTAATGTCCTGCTTGTGTTCTGCTGTTGAGAGCTTCTGTTATTGCTTCATAAAGGTTCCCATAATTACTAGTGTGTTTCATGTTCCCATTCTTCTGGCTTATTCTTTCTGTAATCATCTGCCTGAATATTTGGTGGCAGAAGCTAACTTGGAAGTGTTTGTTTTTTCATATCGCGTGGCAGCTCACAAAGCTGAGGACATACAGTTGAACTGTGTTTGCTCAGGTCTGCCTTTGAATTCAGTAACATCTGCCATGTAGAAGGTCCTCTCCAAATGTTGCAGATTTCCCTTTACCATTGGGCAGAGTCATGAGGGGAAAAATGGAAGTGCTCTTTTTTGGGGTGATGCATATTGGCTATATAGCTTCCCCCCCCCAGTCCAGTAAAATTCAGCCACCTCTTTGGGCAGTTATCTCTGGCTTGTCTCCCTATACTGGTGGCACTTCATCAGCATTGTGTAACTGGTATGTGATGTGGTTTATTGCATCAGCATGAGGAATCTGTACAGGAGGTGGTGCTGTTGCACTAGTTCTCGTGACCCTGTTTCTTCCCCCCAGCTGCCAACTGTTCTCATGTTGTCTGAGTGTGCTGCAGAGCTCTGCCTACAGTTGTCTAAAGCTGTGATTCATCCACTGCCATCACGCACGATTCTGCTGCTTTATTGTAGACTTTGAGAAAAGCAGCGATGATCTGACTTCTTGATCCTTGATGGATTTGTAAAAGACTCTTGCCTAAGCAGTAATTGTCCTTTTTGAGCTTAGAAAGCCACTGGAGAGCACTGCCAGGAAAGACAGAGTTTCTGGCTTGTTGAGAGGCCAGGGCAAGTCAGGACTTCTGGGTAGAATGAGTCATAACTGTGTATGTGTACTTCTCTCCTTAATCCTCCTTTTTGACCTGCCCTTCCAACGGGACCTTTGGGGAGGGGTCAAAACAGCATGGGCATCAAGCTCATTTGGCTAATAGGGCTCAAAATCTGGAGGCTCCAAGTAACGTCAGGCCACTGGGTCATTCAAGGATGGACAGATCAGTTCTAGCACTTGGTGGGAGCTGAGTTGTCTCTGGCGCTCAGGGTATTGCGTGTTAAAACATCTGCCCCAGGCTGCTGCAGCTCACTGTGTAGGTTCCTTGTCCTCTCGTGCAGAGTGCCAGAGTTCAATACAACTTTATTCTTGTTTTTTCCTGCTAGATGTGTATCCTAAGGGGCTGTTTCCTTCCTCTGTCTAGGTAACATTCTTCTAGTCAATGGTACTGCATGTGGAGAGATAAAAATCACAGATTTTGGACTTTCCAAAATCATGGATGATGACAGCTACAACTCTGTTGATGGCATGGAACTGACATCGCAGGGGGCTGGTACTTACTGGTAAGTGTCGCCTGGGACACTTGCAAGTTGCAGATTAAGAACAGTTTATAAACAGCTTTGGATCTATGTCAGCTCTGTATGTGCTGCCATTGTCTGTGACAGCTTGAGGCACTGAGCTTTGAGACCCTGGAAACTGCTCTTGTTGTCACGCGGCTCCTTTTGAGGCTGGCAGCTTTTTACTTTTCAGTGGGTTAGTGTTCATACATTTGAAAACCATCCCTTATCCAAAGGGCCTGGTGAAAAACTGCATATGCTGCGTGCTGCTGAGATAGTGAGCTCTGGAGGGGAGCTTTGCTGCTATTTCACAGTCCATAATGGCACTGTCTAACGGTTTAAGCAAGGAGGAGGAGAATACCATGCCTATTTGGAAATTCAGGTACATCAAGGAGATGGAAAGAGTATTCCACTCCACAAATGAGGAGGTGAAAATCCATAGTTAGCTCTTACAAAAGATGTAAACGTCTATAGCCAGAACTTCACTTTTGAGTGTCATGTGAAAGATGTTTTCAGCAGTACTTCATCCTCGGTGCCAAGTGTTGTCACTGCATCACCCGTGGCTGAGAGCAAGACCTACTGCGAGTGCCACTGAATGCGATTCTTAGGTATTACCCAAGCTGCGGACTGTCACTATGGGCAGCAGTTGTACAGGAACATTTGTTAAGGCATTCTGTATTGTACAGTTTTGTTCTGTTCCTAAAAATGAAACTAGCTGTAGTTTGAGCGAGACTGAGTGTCTCTAACTAGGATGTGGCATCTGGGGTTGTATTTCTAGAAATATGTATTTTGGCTGTGTGATTCTATTGTGGAATTGTTGGTCAAGCCCTTTTAACAACAAATACCAGTTCTGAAGGTAAAAGAAAACTGGATTATTTTATGTGCTCTGGTGAAAAGAAACTGACTGTGCTGACTGGCTCAGACTGTGAGTGTCTGGAGAGTCCTTGGCATCACTGTTCCCAGAAGGGGTACGCATTGGTGGTCTTGGCCCAAAGACGCACAGGAATGAGATTGGGTCCCTCGAGTCCCAAGCCAATATCTGATCACAGAAGCTTGTTAGTTCCTTTCTAAAGAAAATGATTGAAAGTATTCGGAGATGCTGCTCATAACCTGTTGTCACTTCCTTCTAATCAGGTATTTGCCACCAGAGTGTTTTGTGGTTGGGAAAGAACCTCCAAAGATTTCAAATAAAGTTGATGTCTGGTCAGTGGGAGTCATCTTCTATCAGTGTCTCTATGGTAGAAAGGTAAGGCGGCATTTAACTCCTTTCTCAGTGGTGATTCCCGAACCTTTTGGGAGGCAGCCCTGGCTTCTGCTTCCTTCTCCTCCCCAGGCTTAGAAGGTGCTTCCACCTTGTCTCCTTGCCATCAGTTCCAAGGCAGAGTCCATGCTAATGAAGTGGGGAGAATTGACTAGGTTGTGTTTTGCTCTACATGGCACTTCCTTCAGAAGCAATGTTCTGCAGAACATCTCTTTCCCCTGGGCATGTTCTCACCAAGGCCGTTATGGGCAGGACAAGTGTATCGTTCAGGGCCAGACACCTGAGGTTCTTGGTCTGGCATTGTTTTGTGATGCTTTCAGTGCGCTACATCTTTGTCGAGCCTGGTACTCCTTGATGGCTGCAGGTGTTTTAGGAAAAAAAGTGAGTACAAAGACCCACTCTAGAAGTTTTTAGGATGGCTTTTGGAAAGGAAGAGTCTGGATCAGGAAAAGATGATTTGTCCTGAGAAAAGGTAATTTGTTTTATGACAACAGAAGAAATAGGTTAGAGCAGGAAAAGGATTCCATCAACTCCTGTTTTCACGAGTCCTTGGTAACCAAGTGTTGTGAAAGCCTGGGCTGACAAACACGGTGTGTTGCTTAGTCTTGTCAGTCAGACAAATGGTGGAACCAGCCCAGCAAAGATTGAAGTGAATCTCCTGTCAGCTTAGATAGATGAAGGCCCTCTTGCACGTGCTGAAGCTGACCTACAAGGAAGCAGGTGGAGATCCCTCCTGAGCCGGAGACACCCCAGACACGTTCCAGCTTGGTCCCTTTTGTTCAGTTTAAGCGTGGGAGCAATGTGTCCTGCTCATCTGGCTGGAATCGGCAGCACCTTCACAGCATTCATGGGCTTCTTGCCCAGAAAAATGCTGATGTCAAGTGATGATAAGCAGTAGCGTTACGGGTTTTTTAAGGCCTGTCACCAACCTTTAACAACTGTCTTCCATTTTTTTTGGTAGCCCTTCGGTCACAACCAGTCACAACAAGATATTCTGCAGGAGAACACAATTCTGAAAGCTACCGAGGTGCAGTTCCCTCCAAAGCCAGTAGTCACACCAGAAGCAAAGGTAAATCTTCTTGCAGCAAGTTTGATCGCACTGCGTATGTCAGTCAGCGATCGGCACTGGCAGTTCCGTCCTCTTGGTTACCCTAAAACCAGCAGGAGTTCTGTGATTAATGCTTGCCTCCTGCAGAGTGGTCGGTGGCTTTGCGTTGTTGTAGTTGTCAGGCTGAGGACCGAACAGAGTGCAGCGTGTGCCCCTGCCCGTGCTTTCTCCTGATAAAAGATGAGCTTCTGGCATAGGAGCTGGGCTGTCTCTGTGGTCACCGGGGAAGGAATTTCAGCACTGGGCTTGTCAGATTGGCCCCGCTCCCAAAGAGTTATCTGTCAAAGAAAGCTTCCTGTTTCTGTCCGTCTACTAATTCTTGTTCTGCCTTTTGGGGTATCTGCAGGCATTTATCAGACGTTGTTTGGCATACCGAAAGGAGGATCGGATAGATGTCCAGCAGCTGGCCTGTGACCCATACTTGCTGCCTCACATCCGCAAATCTGTATCCACAAGCAGCCCAGCTGGAGCTGCCATTGCATCAACCTCTGGATCATCCAATAACAGCTCTTCAAACTGAGACAGAGTAATAGGCCAAAAACTGCTTGAGAAACCGGCAACAAGACTTTCAGAAACAGCTTTGGAATAGAGGAATCCGCAAGGGTCTCAAGAAACCTGTACCAGGTGCTTTTTTTTCTCTTGCTTTTTTCCATCCATAGAGCATGACGACATCAACTCTCATCAAGAAAACCTTCAGCATCTAGGCCAAGCCATGTGGATAGGAGGTGGCTTGAGGTTTATCCAGTAAATGACCACAAAAGGGTGGCTGCTCTGAGCAAGGAGGGGAAACTCAAGAAAATACAAAAAGACATGGTTCCATGTACTGTGAACTTCTGAACATGCAGCCTTGGGGAATCCAGGACGCCGTGTGTGCTTCATATGAAGAATGTGGACTTTGGAAAAAGACTGGGCTAGTCCAGTGTTGATATTTAAACATTGTTCTTTTTCTTTTAATAAAGTTTAGGTAACATCTCCTGAAAAGCTCGAAGCACCAAGGTTCAGCTGGGGATGGTATATGACTCTTTGCCCTTTGGAGGGGAAAAAAGTTGATCCTGCCTGTTCATGGCACTAGAGTTAGTGTTTTACCCCTAATTAATTTCAGTTTTTTAAAAATAACAATTTTTTTGAAGAAAACAGTTTTCTGGTCTGAAAGTGAAACCCGTATTAGCAGGTTCATGGCAGTGTCCATTCTGCGGATGGTGCAGCTTTCTGCTCCCTTGGGGAGCAGAAATTACTATGAATAATTCACCTTCTCAGGAGGGCGGTGAAGCCCATAGGAGAACAGGCCTGTGTAGATCTCCTCTGATCAGATTGGATCACAGCTCGGACTGCCACAAGGTTTTCAGCTGCTGCTTCATAGCTCTCACAACGGTTGCACCTTTTTAATTTATTTGAAGTGCTGTTCTTTTTGAAAACACACCCTGCCATGTTCACGACGTGCTCTCTGCTCTCGTGAGCGTGATATCTGTTGACTGTTGAAAAGGCAGGCAGCGAACGGGAAAGAATCGGAGCACAGCTCAGTTGATCACAGGTGTGATCTGTGCTCACGCAGTACTGTACATATCTTGCTCATGTTACAAAAATCCGAAGCTGAAGATTTGTCTGCTCTTCTCAGTTAGGTGACTTGGCAGCAAAGCTTCCTCTCTCCCTTAACACTTTCCTTTTAAAACTTGCTGACTTTCCTAATTTGCTGCCATCGCTGCATCAGATTTCAAATGAGAGGCAATGAGATAATGTTCTTGAAGGGAGCAAACACCCTAATTATTATTTTTGTCTCCCTTCCATAATCTGCCTGGAGGGGTCTTACACCTTCAGCTGGAGTCTGCCTGCTGTGAAACGCAAGCCTCTTGTCCCCGCTCTGCCCCCTTTCCCCCCCACATTGAAGGAAAACTGAAAATACACACAAAAAGCACAGCACTTGAACATGTGGCAGCCAGGTTGGAGCGCTCTTAACATGTGGCAGGAGTTCATAGCCAGAAATATTTAAAGATGCAGTGTTCGAGAGCAAGATTTGTCTCGGGAGGGAGCTGAGCGGTGCTCTACTGCAATTCAGGGTGTTGTTTGAAAAACAAATTACCCTGTGCACACTTCCTAACCCGTTACCCAGACCACCGTGGTGTGGACTGTCCTCTGTGCGGCGCCTCCAGGATTGTACCCGCAGCTCCGGCAGCGCGTGGGCTGTTTGGCGCGCTCGGTACCCAAATGGCATTCTCGTGGCAAGTGATATTCTCCGTCACACGCTTTCAGAGAGAACTACCACTTGTCTGCCTTATTGTAAGCCATTGTCTGCAAATATTATGCTTAAACCTGATCAGGGACTTCTAGTTAACTGAAAATGGAGGAGTCTGTTGAAGTTAAGCAATGGACCTGGGAAGTGGAGAACTCTGCCGCTTTGATTTTTATTACTATTTTTGTAGTGACTCTTGGGCTTTTAATTGGATGTATTCACTTGCAGCTGCATTAAGGTGGTCTCTAAACTGTAGTGTTTTAAACAAAGAAAAGAAATACTGCATCTTTAAATCCTCAGCCATAATTTCTTAGCCCTCTCCATCCCTGCTGCTCTATTCCAGAAGTTAACTGTTTAGCAAGCAGTGCTTCGACATGTCTATTCAGCCTCCGTCAGGCGAAATCAGGGTTGATGCTTCATCCTGTTTGCTGAAACTGATGATTTGGTGTCTGTCCACATCGGGGAGAATTCTAAAAGGGTTTTTTCTACCCCGGTCCCGTTGTTTCTTGGACATACAGTGTGTGCTATCTCTGTGGGTGTGATTAGTTTTGTG